TGTATAGACTTGAATATTGATTATCGTAATCGTCAGTTGTTTTTCTGTTTTGGATTCTGGACATTTTAGTTTGAACTCTTTAATGTGTTTTCCTACTGTAAAATGTTGTCTAAATTTTTTTTTGGTTTTCTCAAATGCATTTGCCTGCGGGCGCCAACACTCCCCTTCAATTTTTTTTTAGGAATTTGACTCTAGTTGAATTTTTTGAACAAATTTGATTATTAATTATCGTCATCGTCAGTTGTTTTTCGGTTTAGGATTCTGGACATTTTAGTTTGAACACTTTAATGTGTTTTCCTACTGTAAAATGTTGTCTAAATTTTTTTTTGGTTTTCTCAAATGCATTGGCCTGCGGGCGCCAACACTCCCCTTCAATTTTTTTTTTAGGAATTTGACTCTAGTTGAATTTTTTGAACAAACTTGATTATTGATTATCGTCGTCGTCAGTTGTTTTTCGGTTTAGGATTCTGGACATTTTAGTTTGAACCCTTCAATATGTGTTCCTATTGTATGATTTTTTCTAATTTGTTTTTTGTTTTCCTAAAATGAAATTGCCTGCGGGCGCCAACACTCCCCTTCAATTTTTTTTTTAGGAATTTGACTAGTTGAATTTTTTGAACAAATTTGATTATTGATTATCGTCGTCGTCAGTTGTTTTTCGGTTTAGGATTCTGGACATTTTAGTTTGAACCCTTCAATATGTGTTCCTATTGTATGATTTTTTCTAATTTTTTTTTTGTTTTTCTAAAATGCATTTGCCTGCGGGCGCCAACATTCCCCTTCAATTTTTTTTTAGGAATTTGACTCTTGTTGAATTTTGACAACCTGCAGGTGCCCTCTTCATTGAAATTCTTAAACGAGACCTAGGTAATCATTGTGGATTGGTTTTTTCTGTTTATTTTTTCTGAAGATTGTAGTTTGAACTCATTGATAAGTGTTCCTATTGTATGATTTTTTCTAATTTTTTTTTTGTTTTTCTAAAATGCATTTGCCTGCGGGCGCCAACACTCCCCTTCAATTTTTTTTTTAGGAATTTGACTCTTGTTGAATTTTTTGAATAGACTTGAATATTGTTAACAAGCAGGGGCCCTCTGTATCATCATTCCTTTATGAGTTAATCATTGGCAATATTGTTTTTTCTGTTTAAGATTCTGGACATTTTATTTTGAACTCTTTAATGTGTTTGCCTACTGTATAATTTTTTCTAAATTTTTTTTTGGTTTTCTAAAATGCATTTGCCTGCGGGCGCCAACACCCCCCTTCACATTTTTCTTTAGGAATTTGACTCTGGTTAAATTTTTGGTATTTTAGGTAAGTTATAAATTTGTCTTATGAAATTTTTTTATTTTTATCAAACGAAGTTTGAATTTAAATATTTTTGCATATTGTAAGAAAAGTGTACATTTGAGCGATTTTTCGCATATTTTGAATTTTTTTAACTTAAATTTAGGAACATACAACTGTCGGGAAAAATCATATTTGGATAACTTTGAAAAATATCTTTAAAAATATTATGTTTGGTTAGGTATACAATAGACGCTAATTTTGAGATTTGGGGAATCCGAAGCCTAAATCATACTTTTATAAAATGAATAGCGTTAAAAAATGTAGTAAATGTTTAGGATTGCTGTTAAAGTTATTGGTGGAGCTTGGTTACGGTTGGCTCTATTTCGCATATGGTAAGTAAGATTTTAATAAGTGTCTTTGTGACAAGACTGTGTTAAAAACTATAATTGACATCTAGATTCTAGATCGTCCGAAGAAATAAAATCAGTAGATACGTGTTCGTTATCACGTTATCGTTCGTACTTATTATTAACCTTGTATTTTATGCGAGTATTTTAAAAATCAAGTTTTATTTCACAATAGTTTAAAAATGTCCAAAACACGCGATAGTGTCCTCCGTCAATCATAACCGTGTTTAAATTATTTTTTATCATGTTTTTATTACCTACTTATTTTTTAGTTTTTTATTACAAAAATTGTAATATGTTTTATGAATTTTTCAAAAATAATATAAAAATGTAGCTACATACATATAAATCAATTTAGGGTTCGGGACTTGACTTGTTGCACTAAAAAATTTGGACTTCATATTTCGATAATTTTTAGTGCAGCAAGTCAAGTCCCGAACCTTAAATTATTTGTATACGAAAACTGTAAAAACTTGGTTTTAAGTATACTTAAACACCCCCCATTTCATAATTCTCGCTATGCCACTGTACGGTATGTCGGTATGTCAGTATATCTTTAAAAAAAAAGTCTTTATTGGGTATACTGTCTATTTTCCCATTCAAATCCTCTCATCAAGAACTTATCATCCCTCACAATCCCGGCAGCCCCCCCCCCCAAGGCGACTCAAACGTAAATGGTGCAGGGATTTATTACTTAAAAAAAAAAAACTAATATAATTAAATCACACAAGATTTAAACCAAGTTGAAAGTGTCATCAGTGGGTGGCTTCTTTCCCCAAATTAATTATTCATGTTATTTGTTCCTTCTAATTGCACATATACGTCTTATTATGTCTACGTATAGATTGTATATATTCTTCTGAAAATAAAAAAAAGGTGGGGTGGTGGTTGCCCCCACTGGCCACGACTTAGTTCTAATATCCAATGGGGGTAGGTGGGTATAAGTAATTTAATGTTTATTGCCACACCTAAAAAAAATTAATTCGGTGCCACTGACACCATTAAAAGGGTTTTTTTCTAGATCCGTGGATATTAGTATTTTTACTGGTAAATATATAATAATTTGACTCAAACTATCAGTAAGGTCAGGTGGGGTAACAGCGGCGTGGTTTGCAAAATCTCAGCTTAATGGAACATACCATCTTACATTCTTACTGTATTCTTATGTGGAACATAGTTTTTTATCATCCATTAATGAACGTATCAGGAATTCAAATTTGTATTGTAATTTGCTTGGAAATTTGTATTCAAAATCGGTTTTTGGTATGTTACCTATACATATAATTGGTATTTATTTGATATTATTCAATTATTACTTATTACTTATTATTGTAGTGTATTACTTATTATTGACAAACGCGTCAAAACGCTAGTGGACAATTTAGGTAGGTACCTATTTATGCGGCTTGTGAAAATCGTGGCAATATTGAACAGTTATACTTTCGGTTTTTTTTCTGTAATGACATTTACAGAAAAAACAAAACTTTTTGGGACAGTAAAAATGATTCAATTTAGGTATAATTAGGCATAGGTACTTTCTGGTTTGAAAGTGAATCTCGTTGGTACTTTGGGGATCAGAATTTAACCTACTGTGGTACTATAATGCCTATAATAATAGTAATAATAGTAAAATAAATTACTTTAATCACAATAATATCATTAAATATACTTAGTAATATTATAGCAGCCTATAATATTAGCTGACAGACCGTCTTCGCTGAGAATCGTTTTTCGTAGGTGAAAAACACGAGTTCCATATTTTCAAATGAAAAATGTCATATAACTAACCTGAAGTCCTGAAGGCAATTATATATTGTATATTTTTTAATTAAATGCATTATCCAAAGTAGGTACCTACACAGTTTTAGTCAATCAAAAACAATATTCAATAGTATTACATTCAAAAATCTCTTGCTGTATAATTCAGCATATTATTCTATAATTTGTCCCAACGCCCTAGGTAACTTCGATTGCCGTATATGCCCGGTTAAGTTGTTTACATGTGGAAAGTGTCGAGTATAGTTTTTTCTTTTGTTACTTTTTAAGAACATTTTTTGTTTACAACACCAAGCTCAATACGTCCTTGTCGATTTTAGTCCTGAATAATATCTCAGTCCGTGGTTTCATCCTAGTATAGTAGGTAGGTATATATAGAAATATATATGGTTCATAATGGGATAATTTAGGGATAAACAAGAGTAAATTTTTAACCGGTTTAGTCTGTGGTTTCATCTACAGTTGCACCGGCCCGGCGCCCGCACCGGTATGATTACTGATTACCAGTGAACTGTTTGAGTGCGACAACGGTTCGACGGTGGAAATCGTTACTCGGGTTAAGATCGAACCGATTTCGCGCAGCTTTGGAACCGCCGACCACTGTTCGACCCTTGGTTATGCGTTCTGTGGTTGCCGGTTGGCCAACAGTCATCGCCGGCCGTCATCGGTAGTCGGCGCTGGTGCTGCCGTCGTGCATACAGAGGTCCATAAAAACATTAAGGTTTTGCATGGTAATTGAACAATAACAAAATTTACAAAATATGTAATAATTCGCAAAAGGAATATTATAAAATATGTTAGCAAATTATGTGAGTGCTAATCGAAAGTTTAAAACTCACGCGCGAGTGGAATCCAACGAATGACAAGTGTCATATGAGTTATGACTCATAATACAGCTCACAACTCAGTCACAAGTCACAAGCTCACTACGTATACAGCTGCAGTTTTCATGCCGGCTCTTGTGTCCAGTTTGTGGGTGGGGAATGCGGTACTAAACGTGTTTCAATAGTTTAAGAGTGGTTCAATCTTAAACCGAAATACTGAGTGTAGATTAATGTTTATTATTTACGTTAAACATAATAATATTATACTTAGAAGTTTTAAGTTATAGCTGTTGAGAAATGTTTCAAAGTAAGCGTAGTTTGCCGAATGTAAATCAGCTTTCGTACTGATTTCGAATCGGTGTGTTGAGAAATCTATTATTTTGTTGAAGTAATTCATTTTAATTTGTTAACTAATATTATTGTGTTCAATTTGTTTTTCCCAAGTTACTATGTTTACATAATGACGTTTAAATGGGTTTTGACTCGAATTCCTATGTTATTGCACCATGTTGGACACCTGCAAAAATATAGGAATCTATGGATTCTTAAACTAATTTATTTTACTAGTGTAATACTATATAATTAAATAATTCACATTACTATCTTATTTTATATTTGTGTCTTTATTAATAATGCATATTTGTTCAATGAACGTAGTGTGAACTGAACAGCCACAAAATATTGCTTAAAAGCATGGGATTCTTCGATGGAGCAGAAAAATAATACATTGACAGTTGAAGATGTGTTTATGCTGCTTGAGACATTAAAGTCTAATGGCACATTTGATGAAATCCGTAAGCATTGTATTACTGATATCTATGCTAAGGTTAGCACAATATAAATTATTTATAATGCTTGCTTTTAAAATTTTGAGTATTACCTTACTACACTACTACTATAACTAGGAATATCACTAATTAATTTTGTAAAAGTGTTTTCTATTTATTTTAATTCAACATCTAAATAAGTATCATATTTAATATAAAAAGGTGCTCTGCTGTACAGTAGGTTACAAGTGGGTCATTTTAAAATGTTGGTATTAATTTAAATTCGATGATATAATATCATTGTATAAGAAAAACGATTCTGAGTGGAGACTGTATGTCAGTCTACTGTACTATCTATGGTATTAAAAAAAATTGACCTATAAATCTATAATAAATTCCAAATTAATCATATCACAATATCCATTAGGTACATAAACAACAAACCCTGATACTATCATAGATATATGTATAATAGTGTACTTTAGAAGTTTCAAGTACCCAAGAATAATATTATACAATCACAACACAATAACTAAAATAGTTATTCTAGGTTTTTTTTTATGTAATTTCGTCTTAAAATGACTATAAAAATAAACTGTCCTTCTGTATTTCTTAGATTTTTTGGTAACAGAATTAACAACTTACTTAGAATCTTGTTTTAATTTTTCAATCCTTAGATATAAATTTGAACATTTATAAATCTTTAACTACAAAATAATTATTCAATTTTAAATTTGATAAATTTGAACTTTAAATGCTTATAAAAAAAATTGTGCAGCCTATGTATTTTAATATTTTTCAACTGATATTGTAACAATATATCAAGAGCCTTTTATTACAATTTTACACTTTTTAGCCCAACAGATAAAACTTATAGAATTCAAAAGATTCAAAAGATAATTTAAGGTAATTCTTTATTTTTTGTTTGTTCACACAGCTAACTTACCAAAATTGGAAACAGCTCATAGAATCAAATGTCAACAAATTTTTAAGTAAAGTGAAATTTACACAGGAATTAAACAAAAACACTGTTCGAGAACGTCTTAGAAAACATTTACTTTATGGGTTAGTACCTATGTATTTTTTTTAATTTGAAATTTATATTTTTCATTTACCAGTGGTCATTAAAATTAATTCTGGCTAAATTTAAGGTGCATACTTTTAAGTTTTTTTTAAATTCAAGTTTTGAAATTGATTGATATTCATGAAATGTTGAAGACGAGGTTGAACATTTTAGATTCTGAGCGGAGCAATGAATGTATTGATTTTACAATGATGTGTGGTTTTTATTTATTTATTTATTTTTTTTTTTGTGTCTGTCATCACCTTTTAGGACACTAAAACTGCTTTGATTTTCTTTAACAGCATCTTTTTTGATAGAAAAATGAATCTATACTCTATTTCACGAGAGAACGGTACCGTTTCGCGCATGTAAAATGATTCGATTGGTGCGTGAACAACCCCGTGATCACGCTTACCCTGATAGTTGGTGGGGATGAAAACGGACCCGTTTTGGTCGGCCGCCGCTACCTTTCTCTCTTGAAAAAGAGTATAGTTGGTACTCTGAAGCAGTGGCGTTATTTTGGGGAGAGCAACTGGGGCATTTGCCCCAGTCTAGTATTTACATCAACCTTAAGTCTGTACATTTACCACATGCCCCCCACTCCCTGTTTACCACTATGGCACTATGCTATGAGAATCTGAGTGAAAAAAAATTTGAGTCGGAAGAGTTGTGAAAAATAGCCCTAGTCTAATAAAAACTGAAATGACGCCACTGCTCTGAGAGGTGTAATAGGAAGTAAAAATTTCCCAGTAGTTTTCTAAAGGGCCACAAAAAAAGGAAAGAAAAATTAAGGAAATTAGGTGTAACTCTAAAAAAAATTGGCTGTAGATACTTTATATTTCAATATATGTTTATATTAGCATTTTCTATACGCCATAAAATTATTATTTAAAATATTTTGACTTTTTTTGAGCTGTTTACAAACATTTTCTGTTTACAATTTTATTGTTGGGTAAAAAGCTTGAAAATGTAATACAAGGCTCCTAATATATTGTTACAATGACAGATGAAAAATATTAAAAATATATAGTCATCATTTTTTTAATTAGCATTCAAAGTTCGAATTTTGACAAAATATGTAAAAATCTAGGAAATGTACAAATTATTTTGAGTAAGAAATTCGCGGAAATTCATAAAAATTTTCTTTTAAATCTAAGATTTTTAAAAGTTAATTCAATATTCTTCATAAGTTTGTCTACCTCTATCATAATAAAATATCTACCTGAAAGTCAAAAACTAGTTTTTATGAACGTTTGAAGTTCAAATTTTTACAAGTTTGGATTTTCAGTTGATTTCTCATTTAAAAATTGTCTTATTTTGCTGTAATTCAAAAACAAATTTTTTTGTAGATACTTGAAATTTACATTATATGATGTTAATTTTATCTATTCCTATACTTAATAAAATTTTCAAAATATTTTTGAAAGTTTTCAAGCTACTTGCGGATATTTTTGATTTTCAATTGTTTTTAGTTTTTTTTTTATAAATGTCAATAAAATTGTATTTGTTGGGTAAAAAGAGTGTACAATTAATACGAGGCTCCTGATATATAGTTACAATAACAATTGATAAATATTAAAAATACATAAACACAAACTTTTTTTATAGCATTTATCATTTAGCATTTTTGTATTTAAAAATGTATGAAATGTTCAACTTCTATAACTGAGGATTGGAAATTTAAAACAAGGTTCCATGTGAATTAGTAATTAAATTACTTTGTTCACAATAATATCTTGAAATATATTTGGTAGTATCATAGTCTTCTCTCAGAATCATTTTTCATATACAATGATATCATTTAATTTAATTTTAACACCATCAATTACAGTGACCCGCTTGTAATCTACTGTACAGCAGAACAAAACCCACTAGCCCACCTTTTTTTTTCTTTTAAAATATTATAAATTCTAATAATCAAAGTTATGATGAATAAAATCATTAAAATACTCTTATTAGTTTTCCAATTGTTAAATCTTCACTTTGTATAATTAGTATTAATGTTACTAAGTTAGATATTACTTTCTATTTATAATGTTATAGTATTATATTACATTTACATCTTATTTTATACAATTCATTTCTATACCGTTTAAAGAATTAATAAATAAATAATACTTTAGATGTGAAACTCAAGATATTGAAGAAGGAGCTGATAGAATACTTACTCAAGTACTTGCACCCCATTCATTAAGTATTTTTGAACATAAAATAGCGGTTGCTGTTGATGAATACTTGGGGATCAAAAATAAAGCACATCCAATTGAACTAAACGGTATGTCTAAATTATATTTTATAATTTTATTATATTATTTTAATATATAAATATAATTTATGCCTTATGGTTGAGTATATAGACATTTCAGCCAAAGGACATATTTTCATTGATAAAAGGAACTAACCCTGTGCCTTGCACAAAGTCCTTCTGACATGACTATAGATTTAGCCATGACAAAATATAAAGACATTAACACAGATAATGCAGTATGATCAAAGTATGCACATCACCTCCATAACGAGCCATTGGCTAATGTCGTAGTTCTCCACTTTTGATTGGTCGAATTATTTCCCTATGGCCTACCTATGTAATTAAAAATTAATGTCAATCAATAAAAATTGAAGAACTACAACATACCTAAGTCAAATTCTGGTACCTATATATTGTATATTGGACAATATTGTATTCATGTTTTATTCAATGTTCATTTTTAAAAATAGTATTATATAATAAATTCATGTACTATAATTGTAGTCACAAATTGATGATGAGGCATTGTAATTTATAACATACTTTAATACTTTTTTTTTTGTAACAACTTGCAAATTGCTGAATGTATTGAGAACCTGGTTTCTTATTAACATTAAACTTTTCCTGTAGCTAATGCTTTATTATGTTTAAAGTATTAAGAAGATGTCACACCTATAGTTTGTACTTTGTATTATGAATCGAGGTAAAAAAATCCGGAATATTATATTATATAGGTACATAATAATATTTAAAATAATTAATTAATTAAAAAAAAATTCATTGATTATAATTATGGACTTAGCATCATAACCTAAAAAAAATCGAAATAATTATTACACACAAATAAAATATACATAATTAATATATTATAATGATAATGATTTCTTTATTAAATTGAGTATTAACTATCGTCATATAAAATATTATATATTTAAAATTAAAATAATGATAATAATGTTTATCTAGTATTATGATTTATCAGTTTAATTAACTAACTGTCTCAAATAAATAATATTTAAAAAAAAAATTAATTTTGTCAGATAAATAATTTAGTTACAATTTATATTAATACTGATTGGTAGTTTGATAGTGCATCACATAGTATTTTTCCTTTTACCTAATTATATGTACCGGACTTTTTTACCGTTGACTTTTTATACCTGGTACTCTTTAACCACCGACTTTTTTTCCTAGGACTTTTTTACCTTGAACTTTTAGGTAGTATACCTTGTATTATATCTAATCTCTGTATTACAAATGTAGTAGTACATATAAAATGTTTGCTCAGTGCGACTAATTTTGTGTTTTTAGATTTAATATTATAGTGAATTGATCCATTATATAACTTAAGAGTAAGAACATTATCTGTGTTCTTTGGGGTCCATACAATATTTAAATTTTTAAATTGTTATATTTAGATACTCATTACATGATGAAAATTAAAATATCATATATAGCTAACTTACAAACTCAATTCACAGACAAATTTCCTTACTTTTAAGTTTTATAATAGATCAATTCATTATAATATTAAAGCTAATAACCCAGAATTGGTCCTGCTGAAAGCTGCCTATAAATTGCTATAAGACAGAGACAACATATGCGGATAAGCCATCCTCTTAAGAGTTGTTACTAATCATAATAAATGTAATATTATAATCTTCTTATTTTAATTCCTTAACATTAAAATTTAAAAGGTCAAATTTAAATATTTTAGTTTTAATATTTGCATAAAAAATCATAAATTTAATTTTACCTGTACACATTTTTTATACTTTTATTATAGGTTATTAAATAAAACAATATTTTTATGACATTGTAGTTTGTATCAATGTATTATTACTGTAAAACAAGGTAACATAGGACATTTTTTTCATTTACATGTAATTTTCTCATAGAAATATAGTACTTATACTATATAAAACTGATAAAACATGGCTATTAGCTTACAAATTGTAAATTTTTTGTTAATTTAAAAAAAGTATGTTGCTAAACATTTTTTTTTTTTTAATTTCACTATCCCATGTACCCTTGAAAAGGGACAACCATATTATTAAATGTATGCAATTTCATCACAGAATAGATTAAATTTAATCTATTCTGTGATTTCATGTTGGACTGATAAGAGTTATCTTGGGACAGTTCATAAAAGAATTTTGATATTATTAAATAGGTTTTTTTAATGATTTTAAAGAATTTAAAGTAACATTACTAGCATTAGGTTTAACCTTAGGACAGTAGTAAAGCATGTGATAAGCGTGACAAAAAGTTTCCCTAAAATTGGATACATTTATTTACCTCCAAACCTTATCATGTACAAATTACTTTAAGGTGATTATTCTGTGGTGATAACAATGTTTAAATTTCATTTACAATATATTCGCCATTCAATCAACATAAAAATCTACTTCATAGTTCAACTAGCATACGCTCAGAACTTAAACCTAATTCAGTTGAATTTTAAAGCTTTTAATATATGTTACTTAATTAAATGAATAAACATAACTTATTTATTATCTGTAAGTTGTCAAGTTGTTTGTACTAATGTGTATACTGCGTGAATAAATTTTTAATGATACCAAAAATACGGTACAATATTAAATTCCTTAAATATTGCCTAAGTTAGCCATATGTCCCAAGTAATCCAGTTTTACGGTAATTAAAAAAATAATATAATCATATTAATCTAATGTATTATTTTTAGGATTAAAAGAATCTAGAATGAATTTAATAAAAGCATCTAATATTGAAACGAGCACTGTTCTCAATCCCAAAATAGGCAAGTCAATATTATACATTATCTATTAATTCTTCTGTTACTAAATTCATTTTTTACTTATGTAATTATAATAAAATGTACAACTTTATTTAGATTTTATCCCAGATGCTGATAACATAGTGTTGGTTAGAACTATAAAAGTTAATAGAAAAAACTTGAGATCAGGCAATAAAGAAAAATCTTCCAGTCTTTGTAAAGAGTCCAAATCACTGAAAGGCAATGAAAGTGAAGATACAAATCGTGCAGGAGGATCTTCAAAACAAAAGAGTAGCCAACACAAAACTTCTTCATCTGACAAATCTAAGTCTTCCTCTAGTAATCATAAAAGTATTAAAAAAGATAAAAGTTGTAAAGAAGTTGTTGAAAAATCTAAAAATATAGTTGAAAAATATAAAGATGTTCTTAATAAGTCTAAAGATGTAAGTAAGCCTAAAGATATTGTTGAAAAATCTAAGGATATTGTTCATAAACCTATAGACATTGTTGATAAACCTAAAGACATCGTTGAAAAATCTAAAGATAATGTTAAGCCTAAAGACATTGTTGATAAGTCTAAGGATAAATCATTTTTGTCAAAGAATTCTAATAGTTCAAGTCATAAAAGTAACCGGGCAGATAGGAAAAGAACTAAACGTACTCTTGAAGAGAAAAAAAAATCATCTAGTCTTTGTAAAGAGCCTAAATTATTTAAAGGTAATCAAAATGATAATGAAAGTAATTCAGGAGGATCTTCAAGGCAAAAAAGTACCATACACAAAAATAAAAGTTCTTCGTCTAACAAGACTAAGTCGTCCTCAAGTAATCATAAAAGTAGTGGAAGAGATTATAATACTACAGACGTTATTGATCGGTCTAAAGGCAAATCTTTGTCAAAAAATTCTAGTAGTACTGACATTATAAATAAATCTGAAGACAAATCGCTGTCAATGTTTTCTGACAGAACTGTTGATAAGTCAAAAGACAAATATTTATCAAATAATTTGAGTGGTACTGATGTTAATAAGTCTAAAGAAAAATCATTGTCAAAGAATTCTACTAGTTCTGACATTGATAAATCTAAAATCATACATTTGTCGAAGAATTCGAATAGTACAGATATAACTGATAAGTATAAAATAAAATCCTCTTTTATAAAAAATACTAGATCCATACGTGTCGTTGAAAAGTCTAAGGACAAATCTTTGTCAAGTTGCTCAAGTAGCTCAAGTCATAAAAGTAATCATACTGACACTAAAAGGCTTAAACTTTCTCCAGTGGAAAAAATGAAATCACCTACAAATAAAGTTAGTGATGAAGAAATGAAACCAGAAGAACTAGAAAAATCTGAATTGAATGATTTTCAAAATTCTATTCATTCTAACAATGACATAGATGTAATAATGAAGGACTCTGTGAGTACCTTATCTAATCAAATATTACACGAGGAAATTGAAAATAATGATGCAAAAGTATTGGATAATGACAAATCACTTAATACCTTTAAAGGATTTTCTAAAGCGGATGCTATCCCATGTAAAAATGATCAACTATTAAAAAATGTGGTCAAAACCTTACAAGAACAGATGAATAATCTTGATAAAATTGACAATGGTTTCAAAGGGTTTACCAGTGCAGAAACAAATCTGTGTAAACATCGAGATATTGTTTATGCGGAGCTAATTAAACTGAAAGAAAGTGAATCCCGTACAGGTTTTATAGGATTCTGCAAAAAAGATATTACGATAAGTATTGGACATAAACATGTCGTTCAACTACTTGAACTTTCCAAACAACAAAATAATGTAGATAATTATCAACAAAACGTGAAGTGTGTTAGGAATGGAATCCAGAACGGAAAACCTTTTAATGAAGTTATGGCAGCACATTTATATAAAAGTAACAATGATAATGATGCAAAGTCAAAAAAGTATTACAGCCCACCAATTAATGATACAAAAAGAGATAGTCCTACTGTAAATAATAATGATCGCAATCATGATAATTGGATTGTTGAACAAGAAATTAAATATAAACTTTTACCTGTAAAAGTGAAACTTGAAAGATTTACATATGAATGTAATAGTGAGTAATATATTCACCATTAAATAGAATTTTTCCTCATCTAAATTTCCTATTTTGAATTTTACTGTGTTTTTTTTTTCAGATGATAACCGTGTCTGACTCCACGGGTACCCATATAATTAACAGTAGAAAATAACATTTATAACAAGAATTGTTTCTTCAATTATTTCTTCAAAATTTTTGAAAAAAAGGTATGCAATATTATCTTGATGAAAATAAGATAATAATATATAAGATTATATAAGATATTTATATATTTATTTAGCCAAAATATAGTTTTCTTTCATAATAATCAATTGTAATCATTAGGGTACAAATTACAAACTATAGGAAATATACGCAAAAATATGCAACTGAATATTTTTTTAATGACAATTTAAAAATTTTCATTTACTCATTGAAATTAAGATTTTTTTTAATTATTATTTTTTGGACAACAATAAACATTATATTACTGTGTATGATCGATTTCATTTTCTTCGTCTTCTACAATGAAAAAAAAGTTTGGTATTTTATTTAATATTAAATCTGAAAATAATGAATTGTTTACCTGTTAAGTTTGATTGTACAATAAGACATTTTCTGATATTATCAAATTTAAATGCACGGCGGTTGTTGGTAAGCATATTTTAATAAATTGAAAATGAACGTTCCACATTTACTTTCATTTTACATACTCTAAACGATTTACAATAACCAATAGACTATAGTATACACAGGAACAATTAGGTATTTCCCTAGTTGCCAAATCCAGTTAATAATGTTATTATCTCATCTTTATTCTTAAACCGAGTTATACGGAGAAACAATTAGTATTTACTGTGTTCCTGTCCTAACTCGTTCTATGATTAAGACTTAGGAAGTATATTGATTGTCACATGAAAGTGAAAAAAAATAATGTTACCATTAAAATAAATTTACATAACATAAAATAAAAACTGCGTAAATATGCTATAAATAACAATTAAATTAGTTTGCAAATATGTTTTTACTTTGAAAAATGGCGAAATATACGAAAATATGCAATTAAAATTTTTGATTTCAATCTTTTATGACTTAAATCAAATTTATATTTTACTTGGACTATTTTGCAGTCATTATTAAACAATATGCAAATGCAACAAGTCCCGAATCCTAGACAATCAATACTAAACTGTCATTCCTATAATGTTTCAACTTATTTATTTTAACTTGACAAAACATAAAAAAAATAAAATGTTAAAAGACTTAAAAATTATATTTTTTTAGTATTAATTATTTTGATCATAGTTCAAAAAATAGAAATTTTAAATTGTCTATATAAATATTCTCTATAATAGTATACTGTATAATCAGGAGTACTAAATTATTTTTTGCCTTTATTGAATGCCAGAATGCCGGTTATTTGTCTTGGAATCATCTATAGATTATATAGGACCCCTTTCCACAGGATTGCTTAGATCCTTCCCACTATTTAAAATTATATACAATTCCCAGATCAATTTTCATGTATATATATAATAGCTTCTAGTTGCTAGAACTATTAATTCAATAATGTGTTAAATATCCTGTTAAATGTTGGTTCTGTGCCTATGTGGCTAAATGCGTATATATCATATCTTACAAACTGTGGTAATACTATATAAGTGACATAACCAATGTTTGTATGGGAATCAGGTAATTTATAGAAAATGTGAGAAGAAAAAAAAAACCATTAAGACTCATTAATTTTCTGCAATATTTTTACCATAAAACAGTTATTATGTAAGCCCTTTATGTAGAACCGGAGAAAACACCCATAAGGCCAGAGCTATGAGCCACCTTTAGGAATACATGGTCTCTTGTTGTATGGATTATAGATAAAATTTAAAATGAATTATGTATAAATTAGTTTATTTTTTTTCTTATAATCAGAAAGAAAAATATTTGATTAACGGATATGATCAACCAACAGAACTCTAAACCTATTTAAGATATGACTGTTTCCTACCGTTTCATTACAATATTGTATGAATATTATTATATAATTTCACTAATTCAGTACCTACCTGCATTTATATTTTATTTATTATTATCATACTATCTGATTACATCCAAGTAAATCAAATTTAAATTAAATAATTAACAATAACCAGTCATCAAATGAAAATTAATTGTAATCAGTGGCGGCGCCAGGGGTGGGCCAGGGTGGGCCCGGGCCCACCTTAAAAAGTCCCAGGCCCCCCCTGTGGCCCACCCCAAAAATTAAATTTAATCATATTAGAATACTAAAAAATATCTCATGAATAAATCATGATTTATTAAAATATGAAAATATTAAGTCATAATAGATGGCGTGAACAACATTTTGAATGGATTGACAACTATGCTCTATATATGTTTTCAAGCCTCATAAATAACGTGTATTTTCCAGAGGCTGAATACGAAAATAATAAATTATTATTAAATATTCGTTGGTATTGAGTGTAATTATGTGTTAGGGAGTATACAAATTAAAAAGTGTTTACATGAATATATATTTTGTTAGGAAATAAATACTATTAATACAATACATGTTTACAAATCATTGTTTTAGTAAGTTTACACGATGAAGTGTAAAAAAAAATTGGAAGTTGACCCTCCCCCTTACCCCTCTGCGCAATTGCCTGTCATCACTATTGTTTATATATATACATCAAGTCAACAATTTGGCCCTCCCTAAAAAATTTGGGCCCCAGCCTGGCCCACCTGGTATTAAATTTCTGGCGCCGCCACTGATTGTAATACTATTTTCTTTAATCTTTTTTTTCTTTTTTATGTTTATTACATTTACAATTTTAATTTTCTAAAGATATTTAAGAAAAAAAAATGTTTTCATTATTAGTTAACAATCAACTATTAATTGTAAACATGCAATAAAATACCTTCTGCTTACCAAAATAGTAAATACCAAGTACTTTAAAAAAAAAATGTCTACACTGCTGGAATTCAACAATATAGTAATTGTTTTGTAATCCAATATCGGATTCTTAACTATCATTTTGTAAATTAAATAATTGTTTTGATCATTTTGATGTATAATTTATTATATTAAGTTAAGCTAATTTTTACTATTTTTTTTTATATTTATGTACCTACATAACATGTAATATTAATTATGTACATACTTTTTAAATGTAAATTTGTTTGTTTATTTTAGAATAAAATTATGCTTTATATTTGTACATAGGTATTATAATCTATAATGATATGTATTTACTACCACTAAATATATACATTTTATTAAATATAATATTAATATTTATTTATTCAACAACAACAACATAATATAAAATATATAATTAACATTTGACATTTTAAGTTGATACCTACTCTCTATAAGCATGGCTTGTGGTGAGAGTAGGGAGTCTTAAAAATTAATTACAGTAATTACTAAAAAATATGTTAAATATGTTTTATTAAAATATACTGTACATTTTTTTTAAACTTAATATTTTATATTTAAGTTAATTTATATTTTACACTAAACACTTTATTAAACAATATTGTTATAGAATGAATTTTCTTTTCAGATTAAATTATAAAGTAAGAATACCATTTGGCTAATGTTTATTATATTCATTGTAGATTTATTTTTAAATGTTGGATTGTTTAAGAACAGTTCTCGTTGTAAAACACAGCAAATTTTATGAGGTCAGAGGTTGAATATAAAATATAATTATTAACTATTATATTTATTATGTTGATTGATGTATATATTTGCTTATCAATACTTATGTGATACTCACATTTCCTAACATATAATATTACAATTTACAACTATAAAAAAAAAATAGTGAAATATAGTGAATATAATGAAATATTTATGGTAAGTATTAAAAGAAATTACAATGTATATTTATTATTTATATCGTTTCAGTAGGTACCTACCTAATCTATTTTGCAGGTTAAATGTAAATGTATAGAATACCAAAACGTTGTTTGCTGAATTGTAGAAATATTTTATTGTTTGCTTTTATTTTGTTTATCAAAATCTCAACAACTAGTTTAAAACTAATGTCTGCCGAGTTACCTAATCGAGAAAATAACAAAGTCAAAGAATTGGGGTATTTATTATAAATACATATTTTTTTATTTCAAGTTTTTATTTATAAAAATAAATATTAAAACAAAAAAAATGTCTTTAACTTTATAATTTAACTTTTACCTATTAAAAGCCAAAGCACTTAAATTTTAAAATGATTAGGAGGAGGGGCAAGTATCAGATCTTTGAAAATGTACGATGGGTCGAGGAATAAAAATGATTGGGAAACACTGGGCTATAGGTACATCAATATTTTCAAAAAAAATATGCTCCTAAACAATTTACAGAAAAAAATAGTCTCATTTAAAAAAAATAAAGACGTTTGTATTGTTAGGTTCAAAAAAATAAAATACTAAGTAGGTATATGATTATGATGTAATTTAAATTAAATAACTAACTTTACCTTATATTATATATTATCAAAGGTACATACTAAACCGGTTATCGTCAAAATGTCACAGAAAACGCAATATTTTATTTCGGGAATTCAATTTTTACAGAATTATACCTACATAAAATATATAGGTACCCATATTTTGTATAATATTTTTGTATACCATGTTTTTAACTGTATTATTAATTGACGTATCGATCATTATAAATATTTTTATAATTTTTTTAACAATATAATATACGTATTTGTCATTAAATATTAATTATAGATACTAATTAACGTTCAAAATATATTTGTTCAACCATTTGCATGTGATTGTTAGTAAAATTGTAGCTGGGGATTTTTTTTCCTAGGGTCGGGGATTTTTTTTCCGGGGTTGTTCGTCGGGGGATTTTTTTTCCGATTACCGTTGCAAAGATATTCTCTACATCGTGGTTTATTGTATAAACTTGAATTAAAACTTACAAAAATATTGCAATAATGTGACAAAGTTACCTACTTGTTGAACTCGATTTTATTCTCTTTTACAACTAAGGACTGTTCTGTGATACCGCTCTGCTGCAGCAGATTGC